CGCGAACCCACTCAACCTGAAGGACAGGCAGCGTCTGGAGGGTAAGGTGGCTGTGGTTACCGGCGCTGATGAGGCCATCGGCAGGGATACGGCCATCGAGTTGAGTAAACTTGGTTTTAAGGTATGGCTAGAGTTGTTGTAATATTAATTACTGTGTTGTAGTATTTATGTTGTGTTTTTAATTAAGGTAATTATGGGCGTGACTGACGTGGAGGCCATGGAGAGGGTGCTGAAGATTATCAGACAGACTAACGAGAGCGCTGTTGCCAACATTACCCCGATCAGTCTGGACATGTCATCGCTGGCCTCTGTCCGCCTGTTTGCCGATGTGGTCACTAAACAGGAGCCGAAGATTGATCTGTTGGTCAACAGCGGCGACGAGTTTTCCGATAAAAAGTATATCACCAAGGATGGTTTCGAGAGAAATTTTGTTGAGAATTACCTTAGTAAGTTTTGTAAACAATTTTTTAGTAGTTTTATTATTATTTTTTGTTCTTGGTGTTTGTAATTAATGTGTGTACTATTTGTTGCTTATTTTTTAGGCCACTTTTTAGTTACCAGGTTGTTAATTCCTAACCTAGCTAAGTCCACGAGTCCCCGTATTATTAACGTGTCGTCAGTGGCCCATCACTTTGGCTCGATTAATATAAACGACGTGAACTATGAGAAAGGTTTCTACCTGCCCCTAACCGCGTACAACCAGAGCAAACTGGCCCAGGTGCTATTCACCCGAGAGCTGGCCAAACGTGTAAAAGAGACCGACATTCACGTGTATGCCGTAAATCCGGGTGTTTTGCGAAACCGTAAACGCATTTCCAATCGCTATATATTTGGAGACGTTTTGCACAAAATGTCGGTCAATAATATCGGCGTTCAGGGAGTGCTATACGTGGCCCTCGAGGACAAGTTCAAGAATGAGTCAGGTCATTATTATAGGTAAGCAATGAGCTTGGTTGTTGTTGTTTGTGGTAACATGGTTATAATTAATATTTGTGTTGTGATAATACTTTATGGTAGAAATCACGAGAGGGTAGAGTTCTTGACTGAGAGGGCGTCCGACGACGTGATGGCCAAGAAGTTGTGGGATCTGAGCAGCGATTACGTGAAGCTCGAGACCGACGTACAGCTCGAGCCCAAGGATAAGATGGTCGAGTCGGTGGCCGCACAGCCGGTGGTAGACGTGGCTGAGGCCCAGAAACCTGTTGATGATAAGACCATTGAGGCCGAGCCACAGCCCGTGGTCGCTGTCCCGACCGATGAGGCTAAAACTACTGAGTTATAAACAATCTACCTCATTTTTAATTATAAATATACAGGGTATTTATCTGCTTAATCTAATAGAAGTTCACAAAATTTTCTAGTTTATTTTAAAATAATTTTTAATTAATAAATACTTTATTTCAAACCAAACACAAACAAAACTGAATTAATTAGTAATTAATTAATAACAACTGATATTAATTGTTATATCCGTCACACAAATATAAATACCTTTATTACACGTACACTAATTATAATTGTTGTAATAATTATGATGATAAATAAAATTGTTTAATTCCTACCTAAACTAATTATTATAGAGTATAAATTGTGCAATCGTTGTAGGTGATTTGTCGGCGGACTCAATCGATGTGGGCCATCATATCTAGCCCAGGGATCATCCGTGTGATTGGCCAGACGTAGATCATTGTAAAATTCGTCCTCGTTTAATATGGTGGCTATTCGGTCAGGGTAGTTTGTCAGTATGCCATCTACACCTAGCCTATTTAATTAAATAATAAACCAGTTAATTAGAGTTATTAAACATATTAATTATATTAAAATAAAATTAATAATTTTAAATAGTTTGCAAATATTAACCTAAAAGTGTCCCTGGCCACAAATGGCATGTCAATTGTCCACCGGTACACTTTGGTCATGTATGGCCTGCGAAACTGGTCGCGCAATTGTATGGCCGCCCGGAGTCTGTCCGTCGGGTAAATAAAACTGACACAATTGGTTATGCCGTCGCTCTGCCATACATTGGCCGTACGGGGTAGCCGTCTGTGATACATTGTACCTTGATAAAATTATATAATTTGTGTTAACCATGATTTTATGCTAATAGCACTTTTCATAGCACTTACTTATGACATCCAGCGCTTCATTGGCGCTGACGTCCCAACCAATGTGTTTGTTTAAGTGACTTAACCCGAGACTATCCATGGCGTGTATAAAGCCGTCCATAAGGGGCTCGTCGGTGACCCGTTGTATCGTGAGTAAGATATTGACCCTGGTCAGCACGTAACCATGGTTAAATAGGTGCTCTAACAACGAGTTAAATAGCTTTTCTCCGGCCATACTTTTAATAATTGGCGGCATGTTTTCAGTTTTGAGGTCCAGTATTAATAGCACAAAACGCTCCTTATATTTAATGTGGTCTGTTCACAAATAAATGCAAATTAATTATGTTAATTGTAATATAAACAAGTATATGGTGATTTTAATATGAAATAAATACTGTATTTAACATTATTCAAAAATCATGTTTGAGTTGATGTGATCTAAAGTTATGCTATTAAATAATTTAGTTACATAAGTTATAATTATTAAAATAAATCTGATACAAAAAAACTTAAACATAATTTTTTAACTAGTTTGAAAAATATATAAAAATTATAATTTATAATAAAATATAATAATAAGTTATGAAAAACTACACTTGGTACTTACCGGGTGTAGAGATGTCACGTATGTGTTGTATGTACTGTTCAAATGGTGACCATTTGCTACAATCGCGGAGACAATCGCAGGGAATGCCGTGAAACATGTGGACGGGTGTGCCGTCGGCCACAAACTGGACGTCAACCTCGATGGCGTTCGCACCCTTTTCAATATAACTGTCCACCTGGTCAATTGTGTTCACCATATGACCGATATTGTAGATTGGTCGTCTCATATGCACACATATTATTTGATGTATGTTGATTACAATTAGTGTTAACTGATATATAAGTTTGCGCACCATGTTGACACTAATTAATTTTATTTATTAGTTGTATTTTTTATTAATTATTAATTTTTATTTTTTAGTAACTGTAGTGATCATGATTGTTTAAAATAGTAGTGATGTTTTGACGTTCATGGTAGAAAGTGAACGATAATGAAATACAAATAACTAGTTGAGCGAAATGTTTTTGTAACATGTTTTAAAAACACCAAAAACTAGTTTTGGTGGCGATATTCAAATCAAAATATTTAACTCAAAAGTCAAATATTTAGCTTTTAATGCGATTACGGTTTGTTTGGGGGAAATGTAATCTGATTTACATTTTACTGTACATTTTATGATAACTTTTGATTTTATGCTACTATTAGTGGAGTTGTTTTAAAAGTAAAAATATTTTGTAATTTTTTGTAAACTTATTTTCTTTAATGTATTGTTATTTATAAATATTAATTTATTGTTAGGAATGTTTATAGTTTGTAGTTTGAATTATTTATAACAATAATTTATTAGTTATCAGAATTATTTATAAATATAAATTATTAATTACAAATTATATTTTATAATAGTAAAACGATAATTTAATTATTATTATTATTTTTAAATGAATTTATCTAAAAATAATTAAATCTAAATTTCTTGGCAAACACCGTAATTCATAAATTACATTTAAAATTATAATGTATAACAAGAACTTACACTATATATTGTATGAATAAAAATAAATCTTTTATATTAAATGCTTTAATTAATACAGTATATAATTTATAATTGTTTATAATTAAATACTGTATAATAAAGTACAAATTACTATTTTATTAAAAATCACGTTTATATTCAAAACATGCATTTATAATAAAATTAATTGTTTTCAGTTTGTTTTATTTGAAAATCCCTTTTAATATTTTAGTAAAATATATTTACTTATATAATATGTAAGTTATATAATAAGTTAAGATATTTATATTTAAATAATTGTAATTATTAAAAAAATATTAAATGAATAAATGAAAAATTGATTAATGTTAGTTATTTTATTGAATTAATTATTCAACAGACAAACATCAATTATAAAAAATATATTTTAACTTTATTGTACGTTTTATAATAACACTTTATAGAAGTTACCAAGATATAAAACACTAATTAATGTTTATTCTTAGCTATATTTTCTGTAGAAATAGAATGTATTTTTATTAAATAAATTAATGTACCGTAAAATTAATATACCTTTTGAATAGACTTTGTTTGTCTGTTGAATAGTTTAATCAATAAAATGTTTTATATGCACATAATTTCTTCATAATAGTTAACTTATTACTATTTCACTAAATAAAATCATTATTTTGCTAAAATAATTTACTTAAAAATATCATTATTACTTATATTAAAAATTACATTAACCAAATATTCATATTACTAATTTAAGTAGTAATGAATAAATTTATAAATTACGGTACTTATGTTTTATGTATAATTGGATGTGTTTTGCAAATCAAACAAATCAGTGAAATATATTTCTCATACGAAACCACTACTG